AGGTATGTGGTCAAGGGACCTCTAAACTGGACTCATGGTACCTGGGATCCTAGAATTAGAAGGCCATACATTGGATTAGGGTTTTATTTCATAGAAGGCCTTTACCTGAATTGAAATTTCTTCCCTGGATGCACTAGCACATCAAGTTACTAATAGCCATAAAGAAATTAGCATGAATTTGTTCAGCTGAACTGTTGTCACTAGCAAAGAAAGATCATTAATCAGTTGAATTAAAATGTAGGACAGGAAAGTTTTTTTAGAGGTGTGAAGGCCAGTTGAGTCAGAGATGTTGAGTCTTTGCTCCTGCCAGGCAGGGCAGGTGTCAACAAGTGCCAATAACAAAAGGATGTCGCCTGGCCGGGCATGGCTCAGAGGTTGAGCATCGACCTAAGATCCAGGTGATCAGGGTTCGATTCCCAGTCAGGCACATGCCTGGGTTGCGGGCTCGATCAATGACTCTCTCATCATTGATGTCTCTCTCTCTCTCTCTCTCTCTCTCTCTCCCTCTCCCTCTCCCTCTCCCTCTCCTTTCCTCTCTCTGAAATCAATAAAGATATTTTTTTTTAAAAAAAGATGTCAATAAAGAAGAGAGGGTGCAGAGAGGGCAGAGATCACACTTAGTCAACCTCATAATTTTTCCAAGAACTGTCTTTTTATGTAATAGCACAAAGAGCATAATTTTGAACTTTGTATTAATGAACCAAGGTGGTAACTTAAGTAACTAAGCAAAGTGATGATCTGCAAATACAAATCAGACCTTTCTCTGCATACAAAAAATCAAAACATAGCCAACAAAGCCTTGAAGTCCACTCAGTTTTATAATTTCAGAGGTTATATTACCTTGATTCTGCTACGAATCTTTTAAATGACCTCAAATGTTTATGTTTATGTTTAACCCATTTCTCAGCTCCTCACTCATCTCTGCCCTTATATAGTGGAGTTACATCATTTGTATATTTAGCTTATTTGAAGGTAATTATAGGTGCTCCCTTCTGTCTATCTCTGTCTTCCATTTCTCTCTTAGGTAATTTAAAATATTCTAAAATTACACTTTTCAGTTGTAATTTCTCCCCATAATTTTTATTACTAAAGCAATAGACAATCATTGTAGAAAACCAGAAGATACAGAATATATACTTTATTGAATATTTTAAAGAACTGTATTACACGATTTGATTTATAAACTGACTTCTTTCTTTCTTCTTTTCCCCCTTCCCTTCCCTTCCCTTCCCTTCCCTTCCCTTCATTTTTCTTTCTCTTACTTTCAGCCCAACATTGAAAAAAACCACATGACTTATTCTTGATGAATCAATAATGGAATTAGGAAAACACTAAGTATGTATCCACATCTGTGCTATGCAGCAGGGTGGGCACAAAGTATAAATTTAGGGGTCAATCAATTGTTTATTATCACACCAGAGAGAAGGGCTTGGGAAAATAGCAGATCCAATAAAATAATAATGGAAAGCAGTTACATTAAGTGCCAAGTGAATGACATGGACAAAAGGGTTCTGTGGGTGTTCAGAGGTAGGCAAGATCTCTGCTCCTCAAAACTGGTTCTCCTCCTGCCTAGTCACCTCAGTAAATAGCATCACCATCTTACCCAGTCTCTCAAGCCAAAGCTTAATAGTCATCCACTAATCCTTCCTCTCCCTCACATCCCACAGTCAGTCTGCCCCTAAGTTCTGCCGATTCTGGGTTCAAAATTTATTTCAGTTCCATTCACTTTTCTCCATCTCTAGCCTAGTCTAAGCTGCCATAATTTTTCACCTAGATGACCACAATGGCCTTTTAATTGGTTTTTCTTCCTTCACCCTTACACCACACTCCACTCTACAAAAACTTAAATGAGATCATATGACTCCTCTGCTTAGAATCCTCCAATGACTTCTCATTGCAATTAGAATAAAATCCACACTGCTTACCATGGCTCCCGTCCATACTCCATGGCTATAATCTGGCTGCTGTCTCCCTCTACAGTCTCATCTCAGGCCACTCTCAGCCTCATTACTACACTTTAGCCTCACCTGTCTTGTTTCACTCCCTCATGTGTACCAAGCTTTTTCCAGCTACAGGTCCTTTGCACTTGCTATTTTTGCTGCTTGAATCTCTTTCCCTACATTCCTCCCATGGCCATCTTTTTCTAATCTTTAGTTATCAGTTTAATTATTCCTTCTCAATGAAACCACCACTGAGAATCCTTTTTCTAACTAGGTCCTATCTATTAGTATCTGTTTCTTTGTTTCCTTCATAGCACCTTATCTAAATGTGTGATTATTTTATCTGTTGGCTTACTTGGTTGCTGTTTTTTCTATCTCCCTCATTAGAATGTAAACTTCATAATACCAGGAACCATGTTTATCTTGTTCATCATTGTAACTTTAGCACCTATTGAATGAATGAATGAATGAATGAATGAATGAATGAATGAGTCACTAAGCTGAAAAGGCCAGCTTGGGGAGAAAGAGTTTGAAGTGGATTTTGAAAAATGGAAAGATATGCAGAATTTTTATAATCAGGGTGAAGGAAAGAATTCAGGGTAGTAGAAGTGAAGTTGCTGAGATAAACATGTTTCTGGCACATTTGGGCAACAGTTAAAAATGGAAGCTGCTTGCAGTAGAAGGTTCTCATTAGGTAACATAGGAGCAATGGATTTGTTAGTTGGTTGAGACATAATTATGTTGAATCTTAAAGAATAGATTACTTTTTTTCTTTCAATGTGGGCAATAGAAGCCATTGAAAATTTTGGAACAGGGTCATGGTGCAGTGTTTTAAGAAGGCTTTCCAACGGGGAAATTAGTATAAAAGTTTATGAAAAGTATTTCTTAAGCAGAACAGATTTGCCCCACTGGTTAAATGGCTATAGAAGAAAAAATATTAACACACACGAGTCAGAAAGGTTTCTTTTGGCTCCAAGACCCTAGAATTGTCTAAAGTATTTACTGAGATGATTTGAAAAAAGATGCAGAGATAAGAAATATACATAGATAAACTTTTGCTTCCTTTTTTCTAATAGAGAGCTAATGAACCAAGAAGGGTAATAGGAGATGAGGAGAAAATACACGAATTTTATTTCTTGCTTTTGAATAAATAGGAGGTTATAGTATTAGTAGAACTGATATTTACTTTCAGAAAAGTTTCAGGAGAGAAGCTGTCAGATTTACAAACTTTAGTTCTGAAAAATTAGATTGTTATGGCTAGATTACACTGCATACAGTACATGGAAATAGGCGAATTCATCCTTAGGGGTTGAAAGAAATGAAATGAATTACAATTTAGCAAATTATGAATTAGAATGTTCAAACTCTTTTGGTACCCTAGTCAGGCAAGGCTCTGCAGGAACATACAATACTCTTTCCTGATTCTACCCTTTGTTCATGCTCTTTTCGTCTTCTCAAAACCTCTTCCTCTTTTCTCTTGCAATCCACAGCTTACATATCCTTCAAGCTCCTCTAACCATCATTCTCTGAAAATTCTACTTTCCTGGAGTGCTTCCTTTTCACAATTCTTACAGAAATCAGAGTCTGTAGTATAGCACTCAATTTGATACTGTTCTGTGTTGTTAATGAATTGTCTCATGAATGTTCCTTTCTGTGTGTGCTCATTGGAACTGTATTATGTAAGCATCTACCACAAGATTGAATACACCATTGGGGGCTGATAACAGCTTGTAGAATTGGTTGACTAACAGATAAGTTATAAGAGGATTAGAAGCAAGACATAAAGTGTCCTGTGTCTGATATACTATCTCAAAAAAGACATAGAATATTACATTAAGAAGGGATACAGCATTGGTGAGGAGACCAAGGCCAAGCGATCTTTAATAAGTTGGTCACCATATGAGAGCTAGTTAGTGGCAGAGCTTGGATTGTAACTCTCGTCTCTGCTTCAGGTTCATGAAATTTGATAATTATGGAGGGAAGTATCAAAGGCAAATAAAGGTCTTAGTATTTCCTGACAGGGTTTGATGGCACATCAAACTGAGAGTGAAGTGAAAAGTGATCTGGGTTACCCAAAACAAAATGTCCCTTCAAGTTAAGTTATCTAGAAGGATATCTTTTCCAGGGACCCCTTAAGGCAGGCAGACTTTTCATTTGCTCCTTCCTTCTCTGAGTCAGAAAACCCTGAGTCAGAGAGAACCATTCCAAGCTATAATCAGGGTTACAGGCTCATTGTTTTTTTAGAATCTCATGGTGATAGGATCCCCTGGTTTTACTGAAGAACACCTCAAAGAGAACTGAGTTTTAGAGGAATCTGTTTAGCTGAATTATATATACACCTAAGTGTATACTATTTAAGATCAGACCCTTAATTTCCGAGACTGTTTCAATATAATGTGTCCCCAATATATTATCTCACTATTAAAAAAAACACCCATCCCCAAAGCCCAGATTAACCAATCTCCACTCATTATTTCCATCAGATCATTGTTGAGGCTCTATAATCTGAAGATATAATGTGATCTGATGGAACAGGCCTGGATGTAGGAGATATTGACACCAGTCCTAGCTCTGTGGTTAAGCTGTTGTGTGAAAAAACACTTTTCCTTTTGGACTTTAGTTTTCTCATCTATGAAATGGGGTTAATCATAGACTCTGACAGGGTTAATTCTCCAAAACTTTCCAGCTCAGGCTTCTCTCCATTTTAGACTAAGCTGCTTTTACTTTGTACATTTTAGACTCAGATAATTTTTTTGGTGGGGCAGGGGCTCCTTTTCAACAATAGTGATTCAACCAGGAGGGTATCCCAAACCCTTTTTCAGAGTTAAGGGTAGGAGGACATATATAGTTTGAAAATTAGATTCTAAAGTTACCATTGCTTCATTTTTTTTTTGTGTGTTCAATTCATTTTGAATATTAAATACAATTTTAAAAGAGTATTATATTTTATTTGTTGTAAAAGAAGGGAACAAACATGAGTTGAGGAAGGTTAAACATCACTGTTAATATGAATATTAACAATATGAATATTCAAAGAGGAGAGCAGATGCCTCTTCTTACCTCTTTCTGTGTCATAGAGATACACAAACTTCTCCCACTTGTAGTGACCCAGAAGGCTCAAAATAGCACCCTTCAAGGCTGGGCGCATCTGGATGACAAACTGCACATCTGCATCAGTGGGGAAGCTGGGTGTGACAAAAGATGTGTGCAGGGCCCCACAGAAGGAGGTCAGAGTGTTCATTGACATCTGGTCATAGAATCCAAAGATGGCATACACCCCTCTTGAGAACTGGGAGCAGACTGCAATGAGAAAAAGAAAAATTTCAATAGCACCATGGTCCCTTGATATAACTTATAGGGTTGGAAATACAATGTACAGTTAGGCTTTGGCTCTAAATGACATGCCTCAAAAGAAAACCAAGACCTCTGAAATCTCTATAAGCCCTTAAAAGCCCAGTTGCACAGCAAAAGAAGAGTAAGGAAGGGAAGAATTTATTTGATACAGTTGCATATTCTTTCTCTTGTTTTTGTTTGAGAGAAAGAGAGAGAAAGAAACATCGATCAGTTGTCTCCCTTACATGCCCTGACCAAGGATCAAAACTGTACCTAGGTATGTGCCCTGACTGGGAATTGAACCCACAACCCTTTGGTGCACGGGACACTCCAGCCAGCTGAGCCACCCGGCCAGGGCATAGTTGCATATTCTTTATATCTACCATGAACAGGAAACTAAGAAAATGTGGGGAGGAAAGAGGTGAAGTTTGTTTTACCCTCTTTCAGCAACCCTCCCAGCTAACCTCCAAGAAACTTGGTGCTCTCATACTTCCACCATAGCTGCCTAGGGACCTCATAGTGTACCCACACCCCATTAAGGTACAACTGTCTTGTGTCTTACCCCTTTGTTGCATTTTCTACTACGCAACAATAATGACTGATGATTTAGTCAAACCAACTGCTAACGTGTCTGCTATGAAATGGCTTGATCCTCTTCAGTCACATAATGATTTAATCATAGTTATTTTATGACTAATACCCTTAATGTAGGCTACTAATAAAGAGGATTTCAGATTCTGAGCAGGTCATTGGGAAGATTGACCTTCCAGTGTCCAGTTAGTCACATTAGGTAGGAGGGCCTATTCTGCCCATGTGTAATTGGCAAAGTGCTATCTTGATTCTTTTGCATTTATCTTCTAGATCTATTAACCCAAAGATAGAACTTTCATGTCTTCTTCATAATTGTGGTCAGCTTTACTTCATTTCAAAGTGTGTAACACCACCATCTTTTCCCTTTTCTGGCCCAGATGAGCTTAAAAAATGTGAACCAATTTCAATATTAGCCTAAGTAGAACATAATTAGCAAATCAAATCAACTACAACAACACCGTGTGGTGCATTCCCAAACCAAGTGGAAATGATCTTTAGATTATCTGCACTACTGCTTCCTTCCATTCATGCGAAGCAGACAGGACAGGCAGCTGATAATGTGGTGTGATTTAAGGGGTTCTGCATGGTCTCTCTTATCAGCTAAGAAGCCACTGCGAAGCTTACTTCTTCACGTTTAGGTGTTGAAAAAGTCTGTGGCTTGGGAGGGGGATTAAGTATAATCTTTTTTAGCCATTAGCATGTTAAGATGAAATAATGTCTGATTAGATGCTAGGATGAGTGGTAAAGAGATAAGTAAATTTTGAGGGGATGGGTGAGTCAGAGAAGAGAATATGAAGGGTCTGAAGTCCTCCCTGAGAGGCAAAATAGCGAAGCCACTGGGCACCAAAATAAGGAAGGCATTGAAAGTAGGACAAAAGCAAATGGAAAACCAATTTAATTCATTTCTTGACTGCTTGTGAAAATCAGAGAGTTCTCAGTATCTGTGGTATATTGCTTTCCATGCATTCCACTTAAACCTATATTGATTAGGAATGCTCTCTTTTATCAACCAAACTCATTAGCCATTGGCTTGAGGGTAGCATTTCAAATGTGATGATCAGTAACTGAAGTATCTCCTTCAGGAAAGATAATAATCTCTAACTTGAGGAATTCTAGGTGACCCCTCAAACATATGCACAAAAAATCGTTATATTAAAAGGAGAAAGCCAACTGGAAAATGAATCTGGGGCCCCTCAAGATAAGGGGCTAAAGGTAGTATTCAAAACCAAAAAGAAAGTGGGTAGATGCCACTTTGCCTTGATCATCACCAAAAGAGACACTAAGGAAAGTCCCATTCCCAAATTAATCCTATAAATGGAGAGTTTTGCAGTGCTGGGTCAAATCTTGACAAGAGCACATAATGTTCTGTATAAAATTGACAATTAAAACAGCTATGAGTGCTTAGAAGGAACCAGATACTGTGCTAAGTACTATACAAATATCTCATTTGATATTCCCAACAACCTCATGAGGTATTGCTATTATTTCTATTTGACAGATAAGAATTCTGAGACAAAAATGTTCTATCTCTTGTGTGGAGTCCAGGATTTGAACATGAGTCTGCCCAACTAAACTCACACTTCCTGGGTCCCAAAACCAACAATGAATTACATTAAAGAGTAATTATTGGCCCAAATGAGATAGGGTTTTCATGTTTAGCAAATAAAAATACAAAATGTCCAATTAAATTTGATTTTCAGATACATAAATTATTTTTAGTATAAGTAAACCTCAAATCATACATATACTAAAAATTTATTTGTTCATTTAAAATTCAAATTTAACTGAGGATCCTGAACTATATCTGGCAACCCCAGAAAGAACCTATCCTTATTACTGGTCATGGGACTGGAAGACTGGAACAATCATGACCCTTCACCCCAAATGATTCAGGAAGCAACTAGTAGTTCTTAGACTCATACCTACTAGCCAGCAGGGTCCAAGAGAAAGATGAAGACTCATGATCCCCATAAAAAATAGCCTCATGGGGAAGTGCAACATATATTCAATATGGAGAACTCTAACCTGACTAAATTATGAACAATAATTGAGAGGGAAATAAAGTTGGAGAGAGGAAAACCTATAGCTATGATCCACTTAGAATTTCAAAAAGCTCTTGATGCATTGGAAGAAAAAAAAAAGTAAGGATGTTATGGTGGTAAGATACTGGTTAATAAAAAATTCTTGTATTGCCCTTATAATCATTGTTTTTGAACCTCAAGGGTATGGAATTAATTAATCATTACTAGCTCACATATGAACCTTTCATTTATTATTTATTACATTTATTTATCTATTTTTAAAATACAACAAACACTCATATATAGTTCAAGCAACCCAAGAACTATAACATTATTACTGATAACTTTTTTCTACCTATGTCTTCCTCCTCTATTCTTTCTCCCTGTTTTGACCCCTCCTTCCAAGGTAACTACTATACTGAATTTTGTATTTATCATTACCTTGGTCTTTTAAAAATATACAAACACACACCTAAACAATACGATGTTATTTTTGCTTGTTTTAAAACGTTGTTAGAAGGGAATCATATTGTATAGGTGAAACCCAGACTCCAGGAAGGAACACCCAGTGCAATCTTTAAGCCTGTGTATGATAAACAGAATGAGACAAAGGAAGAACTTATAAAAATGAGTAAGTGAACATGTGTGAAGAAATCCAGTGAAAATACAAAATTCCAAACTAAGCTTACAGCTTTGGTCATGGCCCAGGCAAGGGATTTAGGAATACTATAGATCAGCAGCAATCCTCAGGGAACACTAGGCTACTGTGGTGCAACAGGCAGACAGACACATGGCGGTGCACATCAACAAGAAGAGTGTTAGGAGAAAATCAGTAAATGTTGTATTCCCTTCATATAAAGCAGGTGCAGCTGCCCTGCAAATGTTATTGTGCATAGTTACCCTTGCTGTATACCTCAGAATATGCAGGGAATGTTAGTAGAAGGCCCAGTGGGGAAGACAGCTTCCATATGAGAACAGGGTTAATAGCCTCTGAGAGAAGCTGGAGGATAGGGGGCCTGTGAATGGCCTCTCGTAGTGGATCCCTGGGCTCCATTCCTGGCTGCAGAAAGTAAAGCTGAATGGAACACTGAGCTGACCTAAAGGAGAGTGTCTATGTTTTTAGATTCTTAGAATGTTTGAGCATAAGGAACTTAAAAGACTACTTTATTCAGTGGTTTTCAAGCACAGTTTTTAGTGTGAAATCCTTTCACAAGTAAAATTTTATGTGGAAAAGTTCAATATAGAAGAGATCAAGTGGAGCTCTTCTGATTCAATAGAGTTCCACTGACACCTCCTTATCATAATGAAACTGTGACACAAAGGAGGAAGTGTCTTGCACAAGGTCATGTAATGAATTATGAACCAGTCACTTAGAAGTGCTTTATCAGCATCTCTACAGCATGCCTACTCCAGAGCTATCTAGGGCAGCATGGGTCAGGATTTGACTAGCATGAAAGTGACTTACCCTCCTAGCTCTCAGCATAGATGTATCCACCAGGGGTTTCCCATGACTCATCTGCTGGTTGCTTCCTTCACCTTCCCCAGCCCCAAATACCAATGAGATCAGGTGGCAGATTGGTGATTTTTTAGGACTCATGATTCTTTTGGGCAATGTCTGTTACCTTAATGTGAATCCTTAGTGAACCACACTTATTTCTTTATCTCAGAAGACTTGTCCTTGGTAAAATGATCCTGGAAGAAATAGTTATTTTGGCAATCTTATGAAGCCTCAAAGTGCAGATGAAAGGGCAACAGTTCATGGTTCTGCCAGTCTTAAGCTGCACGACTTTGTGCAAGTTACTTAACCTGTCTGAGCCTCAGTACAGGATAGTAATTATATAAGAAGGTTCTGGAATTAGACCATATAGGTTGATATCCTGAATCCATCACTTATAAGGCAAGTTACTTAATATCTCTATGCTTCTGACCCAGTTTCTTCATCTGTAAAATTGGAATAATAATGCCTATCTCAGCATTCGTTGTGAAAGTTAAAATGAGTTCATTCATGGGAAGCATCTATAACAGTGCCTGGCACATAATAGATACTCAATTAATGCTAGCTATTTATTCATGCAACAAACATGTATTGAGCATCTACTATGTGCCAGGCACTGTTATAGGTATTTTGAGATACAGGAGAGAAAAAAGATCCTGTTCTCTTGGAACTTATATACTAGTGAGGGGAAAAGAAAATAATAAATGTGATAAATAAAATATAAAGTATATCTTAAGTTGTAAATGTTGCTTTTGGTTATTGTCATAGGCAAGCAATAATGAAATGGTACATGGAAAATACTTAGCACAGTGTCTATCATACAACTTGGCAACTAAATAGTTCTTTCTGTGTTTCTTTCC